GTTTCAAAGAATGTTCGGAGGAATAATTGAGAAATCTCTCAGAGAATGTCGGCTTGTGATACCAATCTGTCTCTATTAATTGATTGTGTCTAATTAGTCTCACGTCAAGGAATGCTATGCTGTTGTTTATTTCTTTCTCCAATGTAAATTGTAGTTTAGGGTGATAACAATTAAATATGTCTAATATACTTTGTTCTTGATTAATAGGAATTGAAGTTATAATATCATCAACATAACGTTTAAAAACGTTTTTTCCCTTACATAGATTTGTTGAACTGTTAACATTTATTTTTGATAACAACTACTTTCAATACCAAGATGAGTTTTATCAACAGATATATGGACTGGGAATGGGTAATTGTTTATCACCGATTTGTTCTGATTTAGTTATGCAGGATTTACAGGATCAATGTATTAAAAAACTTCCTTTTCAATTGCCGTTTTTTAAACGTTATGTTGATGATATTATAACTTCAATTCCTATTAATCAAGAACAAAGTATATTAGACATATTTAATTGTTATCACCCTAAACTACAATTTACATTGGAGAAAGAAATAAACAACAGCATAGCATTCCTTGACGTGAGACTAATTAGACACAATCAATTAATAGAGACAGATTGGTATCACAAGCCGACATTCTCTGAGAGATTTCTCAATTATTCCTCCGAACATTCTTTGAAACAAAAAATTAATGTTATTAATAACCTGAAAATCAGAGCTACATCACTATCATCAATTAATTTTCATAATAAAAATTTAAAATATATCGAAAGCATGTTGATTAAAAATAATTATCCAATATCTATGATTAAAAAAATTCTTAACAAGAAAACCGTTGTAAAATCTACTAACCAAAATGATAGAGAAGTTTATTGTAAAATACCTTATATCGACTGTCTGTCAGAACAAATTAAAAACACATTTAAGGGTCATACTACAAAAAAACAGGAAAAAATAAAAATTACAACAAGGAGTCATAACACCATAAAGAGACGGTTCTTTTCAAAAACAAAATCAAAGAATAAAAAAGAACTGAAATCCGGCATAATAATAACATTCCTTGTACTCAATGTCCTAAAAGCTATGTTGGGCAGACCGGTAGATATTTAAAACAAAGATTGAATGAACATAAAAATGATCAAAGGAACTTTCTTTTGAAATCTAATCCTACCGCATTAGTAGAACACAAAATAGAGACAGGCCATAACTTCGATTTTGACAATACCACTATTTTACAAACACAATCTAATTATAAGAAAAGATTATTTGCAGAGATGATAGAAATCCAAAAAAACAAAAATTGCGTTAATAAAAGAACAGACGTAGAAAACCTGAGTACAGCATATTTTAATATTCTTTCAAAAATTAAATAATATAACTTCAAAATAATGGTTTAAATCCAAATAATATTTTTATATGTTTCTTTTTTCAACTGTTCTTTATCTCCAGGTAAAAAATTATATTAGTATTTTATCAACTAGAATTAGTTGCTCTCTGTATACGGTCAACGTAGGTACATCTGCAATGCTTGTCTGTGAAAAAAAAAGATTTTCGTGATATTTCTCTATACATAATTGTGTTATATGTTTTTTTTTATGTAAGTGTGTTATGTGTTTTAAAAAGGAAAAAAGGGATATATACCACTCCCCTCTATACCATCCGTGTATTAATGGATATGACTAAGAAAGTCCAGATTTAAATGTGAGTAACATATACATATATTTTATTTAATTGTTAACATTAGGGTAGTTTTACCAATTGTATATGTGTGGAATTCCACTGATATGTATTTTAAGTTGTTTGTTAAATTTTTAAAAAAAAAAAAATTTTTGAAAAAACTTTTATTTGATTGTAATTTTTTGCTCTCTTAACTTTGTAGTGTCCTGAAGATGCAAATAAATTTTGCGAAACGTCGACAAATTTAAAACAAAGGACTTCTGTTGATTTCTTTCGATCCTAATCCAATTTATAAAAAAAGAACACATTATAAATAATATTGCCCTTTTTGTGTAATATGCAATGAGTTGGGCTGTGTAATATGCAATGGTCACTTAGGTTATTTTAGGGGGATTTTCTTTCCTCAGATTTTGCAAAATCTCAACTTTAGCTCGGTTTCTAAAGTACTCTATACATAATTAAGAAATAAAAAAAGCCATGGAAGAGAGCCATCCACTCTTTATCCAATCATACATAATTAGTTTCAGGCAATGGAAGGATACAGAAAAATTTGAAATAAAAGTGTAAAAACCCGATTTCAAAATTGTTTTGAGGCAAAAAGAATCTATGAAAGGGTATAGATTTTTTTTAGAAATTTCATAATCTGGACTTACTAATACTTTTCAAATAATATTATAACCAATTTTTTGTGTACTCGCTATTTAAGCTCGTGTATTTGTGTAAGCGTAAAAAACAGTGACAGTTTACTTAATTTGACATGCTGATTTTTGATCGGTAACGGTTAATGAATATAACAATGATACTCAATGTTAGTTGGCTTATAACCAGCGGTCGTCTTACTGTAAGATTTTAGAATAAGCGATAGCTGCCACTCTTAAGATTATACATTTTAAGGTTTCATAATTAGATAATCTCCAACTTGCTCAACTTATTCGGGATAAATTTGACTAAAATTCTCGTAAAAAAGTTGGCGTAATAAATTTTCTACCCTAGCCCAGCTGCGACACCATTGTCTCAATGTACCAGATCTTCTTAACAGCGTTAGGACACATTTAAAATTTTCTGTATTATTTTACTGTCATCTCCAAAAATGTCCAGAGATCTATTTTTATGAAAACGTATCTTTTAAGAAGAGAGTTGAAGTTGGAACCTTTCGCGTTACGATAACAAAACACTAGTTAATACTTAAAAAGTTATCTGGGCCCTACTACAGGGTAACCTAGGCTTCCGAAAAAGCTCTATATCAGTTTGTTGCTTTGCGATTTTCATTTAAATTTTTTACGTTATATGGAGGGTTTCCGGAACTGGAGCTGTTTTTGGAACCGGGAATTTCCCGGTTTTTTCGGTACTTTTGGTACTGACTAATTTTTGTTCAATGATAGTGCACTTTATCAATCAGAAAGCAAAGGATGGTTTTTCAATGTTAAATCGATAAAAAATTGAGATTTTTAATGAAGATAATACCGTATGATCGAAAAAAAGGCGCCCAGTTGGCTTGGAAACCGATCTATGGCATTGCCTATTAACAAAATGACAGTCATCTTCATTTCAAAGCCATCGTTGACGCCGTTTTTTTGGATCATATTCCATCTGCATTCTTGATGATCACTACCTATATTTTGACATCTTATATCTTTTGTTTTCCCCCTTACGGATGCCCCGTTGCTACAGAACGGATCCACGTACTGTACAGGGTGGCGCCTCTCATACGCCGCGGTGGCTCCAAGGAGAACGACAGTTTGTATTGAAATGAAATTTTGTGGGCATATGTAGGTTAATTCAGAGCACTTTTTAAAAATATAGAGAGTTCTACAGGGTGTACCCAAAAAAAGTTACATATCAAGGTTGTGTTTTTTTGTAATTATAATAATTAACTGATTTTTGGATTCTGGGAGAAAAATAGCGGTGAGTTTTATAAGAGAAAGTATATGACTAAAATGTAAGGTTTTTGACATATAAAGAACAATCTTTAAATTAGAATTAAAGCTACCTAAATTGGAATTCACCCGGTATAGCCTGATATGTAGTTAAATTAACTATTGTACTTTAAATCAAATCAACTAGTTATCATTTTGTGTCAGTTAAAACAAAAAAAATTCTCAAAAATTTGCCGAAAATGCAAACTTATCCTACATCCGAGAGAATTGATATGATTCTATTAGTTGGTGAATGCAGTGTGCATTCACCAACTAATATAATACTTAAATGCTCCTGATTTTATCTAGTCTGTTTTTTTTATGGGGATATGTAAAAGAGTGTTTACAAAACTCGACCAACTATTGTTGACAACATGAGAGAAATTATTGTAGCTGTTTTTCGAGGTAGAACTCCACATATGCCTGTTAAGATGAAAAGCTCCTATTGAAAAAACAATCATTTTATGCAATTAACAGGAAAGGAAGCATTCGATTTCATCTAGTTAATTTTTGTCACATAATTATAGGTTTATATCTAGTTTTAATTCTGTAATAATTAAAATATGCTTTAAACTTGTATCTTTTTATTACCGTTGAGTATTTTACTCTACAATCTTTAATTTTTATTAAATTAACAAAAGGTATATCACACAGCCCCCTCCCTAGATTTTTCCAAATAATAAAGATCTGCTGACAGAAAATCATAAAAATTAAAATATCTAGGAAAATCTTGTCTGAGGGGTACGTAACCTTAATAATATTTTTGAATATATCTAAATTCTCCATTAAATACCGGAAAAATATACTGGGTGTTCCATTTAAAATAAAGGAGTAACTTGCTTTTAAAAGTGATTAAAGTTCCATATTAATTTTGTCTCACACTGTATAATTTTTCGGGTCAAATTTTAATTTGGTTTAACATACAATGGTTACTGTAATTAAATATCAGGCTATACATACGTCAACTAAAATTTAAGTAGCTGTTATCGAAATTTAAAATTTACTCTTTATTTTCACAAAATGTGAAATTTGTCAAAATCATTAGATTTTAGGTATAAGCTTTTTTAATAAAACTCACTTTGATTTTTTAAAAGAAAATTAATTAATATACAGGGTGTTCCATTAGAAAAAACACAACTTTGATGTGTAACTTTTTTTGGGAACACCCTGTATAATTCTATATATTTTGAAAAATGCTTTTAGTTAACCTACATATGCTGCCAAAATTTCATTTCGATATAAACTAAAGTTCTCCTTGGAGCTTTCGCGGCGTATGAGCAGCGCTACCCTGTACAATACTCTTTTCACAACCGATATAAAAAATAAAATCTGATTCTGATAATTATATTATTTTTGAAAAGCGTTAAATGATTGTAATATAACGTGTTTAATTGTTTTTTAGCATTTTAAGTTATCACCACGAATCGTAGCAGACATCTTGAAGAGATCGATAAAGGCCCTCCAAAAACTTCCTAATATTAATGTAGCTTCCACAGCGCTCTCAAAGCAAATAACCATTTGTGGGGACTTACATGGAAAATTTGACGACTTATTAGTAATATTACACAAGGTAAGCTGTATATTTTTATTATAATAATAAAGATTTGTAAAGTCACTGAAAATATCGGCGTTAAGAAATAATTAGATATTATTATCACTATACTACTCTTCATGAATTGTATCAGACCACTGTGATATTGCCGAGCAAGATTGTTAGCTCTCTTTTTTTATTTTTGATTCTTGTCTTTTTATTTTTTAGATATTTTATAATACATGTCTATTTTGTCTCATTTTAAGTAATTGTAATTATATTTTGTATTTTTTGGCCTTTACATGTAGTTACCTTAGTAGGTATTTGTAAAATGTAAGTAAATAAATATAGTATATAGTTTTATTAGGAGTAAAAATTATAATTTTTGTGGCGAGTGGCGAGGCTATACGTTTGACATACAGACGTGCCGCAAAAAGTCATTTTTGCTCTGAATAGAACATTCTATTTTTTTAACACCACAAATAATTTTTAAACAATTTCGAACGTTCCAAATAATAGAAAAAGATTTAAAAGTAATACCATATCAAGAAACTATGGCTAGGCTCGTTGAATTTGACACTTTGTCAGTTTAATAATATATTTTCATACTTTTGTGCTTAGGCGTAAAAGTACTTTACTTTTATTCTTAAGCGTTAAAATGAGTTTTTTATATTGTCAATCACGTCGCAAAAATTAGTACTTCTGTGACGTTTCAAACAAAAAATATTTTCCAGAGTTTTAAATTATGACGATTTTTTTCCGCGACTATATAAATTAAATTATAATTCTTACACACTAGGGTATCCGTTATTTCCCAAGTTGATATTTTTTTTGGTGCCGCCCTCTGAAGTTTTAGTTTTTGGTCTAAAAAAATTATCCAATGTAAAAAACCTCTAAATTGTTAATTTAAACCGTGCCGAAATCATGATACTTTTCCCATTTAAATAACATGGGATTTTCTGACCTTTTGCATTTAATTGTTTATCTCCAAAGCAAATGAACCTACAGCTTCGACAAAGACACATTCTAATACAAAATTTTACGCTCTACTAAAAAGGTCTCTTAGATTTTTTCCATAAAAACATTCCTTTAAAAGTTATTCGTGGTCATAGTTATGCACATAGTTTATAATCAAATTTTTCTATCATTCACTGGAAATTTTAATTGCGCCTTTTGATTTTGACTAAAAAAGGATCTAGAGCCATACTTTTTTTCAATAAAACAATATTTCTTTACCAACTTAAATATGGAAAACTAATATTGCGCCATCTATGATCAATTGATCAAAACTAATTTCAATGCGTTTCAGTGTTCGTAAACATGTGTGTCAATTAAAAAGAATGAACACATTTCGAGTGGTTTTTATCCTAAATATTACTTGTATCGAATTAATTAAATTAAATTAATAATTAATTTAATAAAATAAAATAAAATTATTAATTAACTAATTATTAAATTAAATTAAATTTATAATTAATTTAATAAAATAAAATAAAATAATTAATTAACTAATTATTAAATTAAATTAAATTTATAATTAATTTAATAAAATAAAATTAAATTATTAATTAACTAATTTAATTTAATTAATTCGATACAAGTAATGTTTAGGATAAAAACCACTCGAAATTTGTTCATTCTTTTTAATTGACACACATGTTTACGAACACTGAAAGGCATTGAAACAATAACCTTAAATTATAGTTTTGATCAATTGATCATAGATGGCGCATTAAGTTGGTAAAGAAATATTGTTTTATTGAAAAAAGTATGGCTCTCGATCCTTGGGATCTAGAGCCATACAAAGGGAAAAGTATCATGATTTCTTTCATGGGAAAAGTATCATGATTTCGGCACGATTTAAATTAAAAATTTAGGGGTTTTTTACATTGGATAATTTTTTTTAGACCAAAAACTAAAACTTCAGAGGGCGGTACCAAAAAAATATCAACTTGGGAAATAACGGACACTCTAATACACACGAATGAACCGAAAAGCGCCAGGAACAGACAATAAAGAGCTAGTAAAATATCTAAGATTGTCATTTAACAAGATTCTCGAAACATCAGAAACTCCTCAAGAATGGCACAAAACCGTCACAATTCCTATATTTAAAAGAGGATAAAAAACTATACCCGAAAGCTACAGAGGCATAACTCTCATCAATACAACCATGAAACTCTTCACTAATATTTTGAAAGGAAAACTCGAGGAACAAATTACGAATAGGGACGAACAACAAGGTTTTCTTTCTCTTTTTTTTACTGCGAGGTTTATTTTATGTTTTTTAAACATTTCTATGCTGGATTAGTAATGCCAAGAGGAATTCCAATTGTAAAGGGCTTGAAGCAAAGAGTTGTGAATGCATTCATGGAAGGTAACAAACAAGCCGATATTTCAAGACAGTTTGTGTAACCCCGGTACAGTGTATCTAAAATAATTTCATCGTATAATAACAGGGGACACTTAGAAAAGTTGCCAAAATCGGGAAGGCCAAAGTAAACAACAGTAATGACCGACAGACGCATCAAAAGAATTGCTCAAAATGATCATTGGAAGTCCGCACCTAGAATTATTGCCGAAATTCCAGAAATTACGGTTGGTATATGAACAGTACAAAGAAGATTAGCAGATGCAAAGTTATTTAGTAGACGTCCAGCCAAAAAGCCCTTAGTTTCGGAAAGAAATAGAGCAGAAAGGTTGGCATTCGCACGTCGGCATTTAAACTGGACCGTCAATGACTGGAAAAAAGTTTTGGTCAGTGATGAAACGCGCTACAAAATATTCAATTCTGATGGAATGAGACGTGTGAGGTGACCAATCAATACAAGGTTTAATCCTAAATACGTAACACCTACAATTAAACACGGTAAAGGCAGTGTATTTTTATGGGGTTATTTCTCATGGAATGGGATAGGCCCTATACACTTTATTAATGACACAATGGACCGATTTGTTTATAGGGATATCATGCAGAATGTCATGCTTCCTTATGCAGAATGGGAAATGCCACTGCGTTTTATTTTCCAACAGGACAACGATCCAAAACACTCTTCACAAGTTGTGCAACAGTGGTTTAGGGAAAATGACGTTCGAGTTTTGCTATGGCCAGCACAATCCCCAGACCGTAACCCCATTGAAAATCTCTGGGAAGAAGTAGAACGTCGTATTCGTATCCAAATGTTTCCAAATAAACAATCCTTGATAGATAAAATTAATGAAGTTTGGACAAATCTTCCCGAAAATGTCATTCAGAAGTTGATTGCTTCAATGCCGCGCCGTTGTCAGCAAGTTAACAATAATAATGGATATTCTATCAATTACTAATGTATGACTTTCAATTATTCTTGTTCTTAAATGTGTTAAATTTTTTTTGTTGAAAGACACAATAAAATTTGTTGAATACAATTTGTTGCTCTACTTTTGTCGCCCCCATTCTTATCAATATTTATAATCAATATTATTTACCATTTTTAAACTGATTAAAAGTACACCGAAATAGTCCTAGTACTATAGTACTAGTACTAAAATAGTACTATAGTAATAGTGTAAGGATAGTGTGTTAGTAAACATAGCCGAAAATCACAACCTATCTGACACTATAAACATATTATAAGAAAAAAAGTGCCTGATAATATTGTGAAAATCATCAGAAAGCTAAATATCGATAACACAACTCAAGTGAAAGCAGGTAATAATCTAACAGAAGACATAACAACACCAGGAGTCATTAGACAAGGAGACAGCCTTAGTCCCTTCTTATTCAATCTTTTAATGGACATCATCATAGAAAAGGTGACCTCGATGAATATCGGTTATCGAATGGGACACAACAGAGTTAGCATGGTGTGTTACGCTGATGATGCAGTCATTATCGCGGAGACAGAGGATGATATGCAGAGACAGCTTCATAAATTCTATCGGGTAAGCCGAGAATTAAATATGATTATCTCCACAGAAAAAACTAAATGCTTAACTTTCTCTAAAGAGCCGGTAAGATGCAAACTGGTAGTAGAAAACAAAATTATTGAGCAGGTATCACAGTTCAGATACCTAGGAATAGATATGTCGCACTACCATGATCCAGAGAAAGATCTCAGAGGCCAGATAAATAGAGCAACAGCCATGTCAGGATGTCTGAGACAAATAGTGTGGACAAACCCCTTCATGCGAACAGACAGCAAAATTAAAATTTATAAGATCATTAGTTGTCGATTTTCGAAAGAAAGCAGTACATCTATATTATTTCGTATATTTTTCATTTTAGCACTGTTCATTAAAATGTTGTATCCCATATTATAGGGCTTGTTTCTCTCTACAATTTCCTGTCTCACAATGTACCGTTTGTGTCGGGGAAGGGATCATAGTTTCATAGTTGTCGATTTTCGAAAGAAATCAGTACATTTGTATTATTTCGTATATTTCTCATTTTATTGATTTTATGGAAAGCATTGTTCATTAAAATGTTGTATCCTATGTTATAGAGCTTGTTTCTCTCTACAATTTCCTGTCTCACAATGTACCGTTTGTGGCGGGGAAGGGATCATAGTTTCATAGTTGTCGATTTTCGGAAAGAAATCAGTACATGTATATTATTTCGTATATTTTTCATTTTATTGATTTTATGGAAAGCACTGTCCATTAAAATGTTGTATCCTAGATTATAGGACTACACATATATACATATAAGACCTGCATCAGACCAATAATGACATATGGCATAGAAATCCGAGAGGAAACAAATAAGACCAAAAGCATGTTGAGTCGTTGAAATGAAGAACTTAAGAACCATAATGGGGAAGACTAGAAGAGACAGAATTAGAAACACAAATATCAGACAACAATGTGGAATACAGGACGTAGTTAGATGGGGTAGGCAAAGAGAAAGGCAATGGTTCGCACACGTAAAACGCATGGAAGAAAACAGGCTACCACGCATAGCCCTTGAAGGGAAGAGACATTCCATGGGTAAGAGACAGCAGGGAAGACCTCCAAAAAGATGGAAAGACAGTTGGCACTCCATCTCCCAAGAACTCCTACAGAGGCAACCTTAAAATTAACAGATCGCAAATTCGAGATCTCAAATAAGTAAAAGAAGCAGAAGAAGACACACGAATGAGATACATACATATATGTTACGATTAAGGACCGATATTCGGTTAATATCGACATTACCCGGTTAATCTCGAAAATTACACAAAACAAAACCAAACCCAAACGTTAACCTGTTAATGTCGACATTAACCGGAGATCGGACTTTAAATCGTAATCTTTAAACCGTAACATATAACTAGTTTTAAACAATTTTTTTGAGAAATAACTAAATTAACAATTTTCCTTTAACTTCGGGCGTTATTCAATTAACTTGGCACTTTTTATTGATACTTTTATCATAAAAAAATAAAGAGGTAAAAATACCGAAAAGTCCGGTTATTACGAGGCGCCGAACCACTGACGACTGGAGTGTCCGATTTGGCGCCGTGTCTGAATTTCAAAAGTTCTACTGTATTGACATGTTTCTGAAACTACAGGAAACATTTTCAAGCTTCATTTTTCTAGGCGTATTTAAGTTTTTAAAACCAAATATCGTACCTACTGAAGTTTTTCTATTTACTAAATTTTGTGTTGCAATAATGCACACACAAAATACAGAGTGAACTAGATCTAAAGGCAATAAATTGTTTAATTTAAATGGAACAACCTGTATATTTTACTAGAATTAGATGCACAATTGAATTATTGTATATGAAATCGTATTATACATAGAAAATGCATTTTCTTATAATTTAGTCGTCAAAAAACGGTTTAATTATTCGTAAAAGAGGACCAATTAATATGATCTCAGTATTCGAACCACATTACTGTTTGCTAATATTCTACTGTCTGTTTGCGTTGATTGATAATTGCTCAAAATACGAAGAAAACTGGATTTTGTAAGTATATTAGACAGTGTGTTAAAAAGTTAATAAATTAATAATAAATACATAAATAATACACCTTGTAAATTTTATCTCATTTTTTGACGAATGCTTATTTATAACAACAGAGACGAATATTGAATATTTACATGTAAACCGTCACCTAAAAATAACCATCTATGAACCTTATTCCAGTATTATCTTATTAAAATATTCGTTTTAGACGAACTAATCGTATTACTTTTTCCAGAACGGTCTTCCTTCCGCCGAGAATCCTTATATATTTAATGGAGATTTCGTCGATAGAGGCAAGCGAGGCCTAGAGGTTATTTTAATATTGCTGCTATGCTTTATCGCATTTCCGGGCGGGATATACCTGAATCGAGGCAACCACGAGGACCACATCATGAACCAAAGGTAGACACGCTCGTATCACGACTAAATGATTGATGTTATTCTCTATTTTTTATAGGTATAATTTCTTATGTTTTTAGATACGGCTTCATTCGAGAAGTCCAGTCCAAATATAGGGTAAGTTTAGTTTAAAAGAATATTGTATTTCTGGATTGTATCATTCTCCGGACAATAGATATATATATTTTTTTTGGAAAATTGTTTCTTGGGATTATGGTCCGTAGTAAAATGTTTTTTTTTTAAGTCAATCACATTCTCATACTCACCGTTTCGATCTTTATCAAAACCTTTTTATTAGAACCTTGGACGTCACAAAAACAAAATTATAAATTTACATTTTAACACAGTAAAAGTCACATTAGTACATCTATTTAATATCAAACACACATATAGAGTGTCATCAGTCTATATGTTTGGTTTGGTTTTGGTAACGTTTTCTGACGTCCAAGGTTATAATAAAAAGGTTTTGATAAAGATCGAATAAAGATCGAAACGTAAGGCTATGGTAAGTAATTCCTATGATAATGTGTTCGACTTAAAAAAACATTTTATTACGGACCATAATCCCAAGAACCAATTTTCAAAAAAAAAGAATATTATATATACATACACAAATTTTGAATGAGTCGTCCATCTGAACGAGTATTAAAATGAATCGTGAGACTCGATTCGCGGCTTAGAATACGGTTCGTTCAATTGAATCGTAGTCAGTACAGATCCAAAACATTGTTGAATGTCGCGTCGTAAAAAAGAGTCGTAGGAATTGAATCGGACACAATGCGGCTCGTTCATTTCTAGGGCTCGTTCGTTCAAAGAATCTCGAGAATTGATTCATTGCACACAATACGGCTCGTTTTAAAAATAAATGTTAGAAATACCGGGTGGCGCACCTTATTCACCTCGGTTGATTATACGAAAACGCAAAGATATAGAAACTAGTGATGGGATAACTCGAGCGAAAATTCGCGTGGTTTGATATTGCTTTAATGGAAAGTTTCGAACAGTTGGCTACATTGCTGTGATCAGACGTTTCAAGGTCAACCACTTAAAACACAACAAATTGTTTATTATTATTTATATTCTTAGGGTTTTTTCGAGATATTTTTTTAGGTTTTTAGGGATATTTTGGAGATTTTTCATGGGAGCGTTTTAGATTTTAGGGAGATAAATTTTTGAGAGTTGGGAACACTGCTTGGCGCTTGGCGTTAACGAGTACTTACAACATGCGACGGACAAAAAATCGTATTTTTAAATACGAGCGATATTTTGCTCGAGTGATTACTCGGTTATTGCAATCGCTTGATACTCGAGTACTCGATTATTGAAATTAATCGGTTTTTCCCATCACTAATAGAAACAAAATATTTTACGGGTAAATGTGGAAAGGTATAATGTGCATAAGGAAGTAAGGAATATGCATAATTTAAAATTATTTTGAAATGTACAGGGTATGTCAGAAATAAGATCCACTCGAAAGTTATATTTTTTCTTATGGAACACCCGGTATTTTATGTCATATTTGGATCCTTGGACACAAAATAAGGCATTTATTATAAGGGTTAAATATGTTAAGCTTTGGTTTTTATTTATTTAAAGATATTTAAATGCATGCTATAATAATAAAGATTGTCCACACCCTGTACATTACTTTTCAGAACTAATTCTTGTGCTGACTTTTAAGCCAAAGAAATAAACTTTACTGAAAAATTGTATTGCTTTGTTTAATGTATGCAGGGGTATCAAAAACTGCTGGTCTATATTTTAAATATTTATTTTACATAAAAACTTCGTTATTTCAAATGTAATACCCTGTATATTTTAAAATAAATCGAAGCAGATTCAAATGCTCTTTCAAACTATATAAGGGCTTCCTATAACTATCTAGCTCAGATTTGGAATAAAGAACAATTGTTCAATAAAATGGCAACCAAGAGGACTAGGGTCGTCATGGCAAGTTTCTAATGACAGTTAGCAGCTATTTTCAAAATCGAAATGAGAAAGATGCATATATTTTATTTTTCGCCAGAAACTGTTCAATTTATTAGAATAAATATGTGTAAATGCAAAAAAAACCTTTTTCTTGAAAGCAGTACCACAATTTTATAAAACGGGCCATTAAAATACTATGGATAACGCAAACGATGCCTCGCGAATTGAAACGATACTCTATTGGTCTGACGTCACCCGCCGTTCTCGTCGATGCGCGATGGCCAGCAGCAGCCAGACGTGTTCCGTTTCTGTACGTATTTAGGTGGCGTACTAAGACATTTTTGTTGCTTTTAGCGTTGATTGAAGGAGCTTTTTATGCTTTTTTGTGCAGTTATTATTTGTATGTGTTGTGTGTTCTGAGAATTTTTTAAGTAATGGCAGATTCCGGGTTTGTAAAAGCATAATCAGATAACTTGCCAAAAGTCGATGCTTTTATGTTGGCTGCTTTTATAAATACAAATTCCCAATTTATTGGTGCTGAATTACGAGGAAAAAAAAGGGAGATATATAACATTTATTCTTTGTAAGTACTGAGGCATATTTAAGTATAAGTAGGTACCTACTGTTACGAACTTTTATATAGTTATAAATTAATGTTATAAAGTTATTTTTCAGATCAGGTAGGGAGATAATGCTGTAGGTTATATAGAAGTGAAAAGAGACAAAAATATTTGTTTGAAAAATAACTCCAAGGCATAGCGCGAAAAAGATTTTTTTTTATATATTGACACCCCCTTACCCTTGTTATTTTTAAAGATTGTTTTTTTACGAAATTATAGGAAATAAATTGTTTATCAGTAATGAAAATATTATACAAGGTGTCCCATAAGCAAACGCCAAAATTAAGTTACTTTTTTAAGTGAAACACCCTATATATTTTTGGATTCTTCGTAAATTACTAGATATTCTAGATATATTTCATGTATAATATCCTATACCTATCTTCAAATGTTTACGAAATATTGACAGTTGAAAAGCGAAAAATACCTACAATTTTCTGCACCGCCTTTTTTGACACACCCTGTATAACTAGAATTAATTTTAAAAGAGAGTATATGAAAAACCATGCAACTTTTTTATTTAATGTTTTCTTCTAAAACTTGCAGTTAAGGCTGTATGTGGGTGTCAAAATATAATGAATAACCCTGTACATTCAAATTTCATATACCTATGTAAGACAATATACATAAATATATGAACTTACATCAAAATGATCTTCACAACAATAAATCGTAAAAATATTTAATAAATATAAAAATTATAATTTAACGTTTTTCTTTTCATCTCTTCTCATGGCCTTGGACCATCTTTTTTCTGTTTTCGCTCAACCATTACTATTTATAAATATCACTAATTACTAATTATGTATTAATTAACACAAATAACTAAAATTTTGACTCGGATTCAACAGCGTTTAAAAGCAAACTGTGTAAAATAAACACGCGTCTGGCTCCACTCAACCAGAAGAACGGCGGGTGACGTCACAGCGACAAGGCGCGGTAGAGAGCGTTTGCCCGGCCATTTAAATTAACAATATTTAATTATTTTATATTAGAGGCATTTCTTAACCGATATCAACGAGTTTTTTTGTTCAATTTGTAATTATATGAACTATTTTTTAAAACAATTATTTAAAAACATGCATTTTCCTCATTAGTTTATGGACTTATTTAAATTTATACCAGTTTACTTTTATTTAATTTACCTACAATAGTTTAATAAATAATATTTATTAAACATCGTATATTATTCTATGAAGAAAAACGAAGAAGTAGTTCTTTGATTTATTTTACGATGACTTGTAGATATATGGATATTCTATAAAAGAGCCATTTAAGGTAAATTCATTTTCTTCACTTCCAACGACAGGTTTCTGCCTAATAGGTTTTTTATAAACCATACTACCCGCTCTGCGAAATAGGACAAGTCGTTTTTCAAAGGAGCTCTTATCAGGAAGATTCCTATTTGGATATCTTTGAACATAAGCAATTTTCTTCACAAAATAAAATTTTATTTTATTTGATTTAAATTTCAATTAAATTTAGTAAACTGTTATAAATCTAAATAATGTCCATAAACTAATGTCGATTTTGAAAATAGTTACCTACTAATTGTCACTAGAAAATTGCCATGGCGACACCAGCCATCCTGATCGTCATTTTATTTAAAAATCGCTTTTTATTCAAAATCTGAGTCAGATAGGTGTAGGAAACTATAATATAATTTAAAAGAGCATTTGAATCTGCTTCGATTTATTTAAAAACTACAGGGTGTTGCATTTGAAATAACGAAGTTTTTATAAAAAATAAATCCTTAATTTAAATAAGTCTTATTTTTATAATTATTTATATATAATTAAAATATATTTTTATAAAAAAAATTTAAAAAAAATCCTTTAAATTTTTGGCACCCTTTTATAAATTTAAGGAGGCAATAACATTTTTCAGCAAAGTTTATTTCTCTACGGGAGATAGCGGCCTGCGTGCAATGGTAGTGCTTAGTACCACCGAGGCGCAACTATCGACAGTAAAAGGATGGTAAAAGGCTTTTTTTCAGGCAAGCCAAATTATAAAATAAAAAACAAATTTCTTGCAGTATAGGTATATAATAAAATTATTATATAAGGATTCTTGCCACTTAACTGCTGATATAGAAATTTAATGCTATCTCCCGTTCGGGACTTAATATCTAACCGATACTTTCCGACAAGTCGGAATTAACTATCTCTGCGCTGTGATTGTCATTTTGTGGATCTGCCCAAGCTCACCTGATGATGGAGTAGGGCTCCGAAACCGGTAGTGAGAGCAGGTTGATCCACATTATGACAAACATAGCATAGAATTAAATTTCTATATCAGCAGTTAAGTGGCAAGAATCCTTATATAAAATATTTTATTTCTACATCTTTCCGTTTTCGTGTAATCGACCGAGGCGAAATAGGTGCGTCAGCGTGTATACAAAATACACAACTTTAATTTTACTTTTAATGAAAGGACATTTTTGTAATGAAAACAATTTGGAAAACAATATGTTCGAAAATAAAACATACTGCCACAATATTATATTAGTTTTGAATTATTAAAAGCATAAATAAAAGCATCAACTTTTTTTAAATCTGAATGAAATAT